AGTTAATTTTCGCATATAGTGTAGATTATGTGAAAAAAAAGGTGTAAAACTTGTGCACCTGATACACTGTAGCTCAAAAATTATATGTATGTGAAGACTCATTCACTGGGACCTCAATTTTCCGTATAATTAGTGCGGGGTATTTTGAACGAATTCCTTGAATTAAATAATATTTTATTATCTTTATTTTTCATGTCAAAATGTATTATTTTTAAATAAACAACATGTAGTTAAAAAACAACAGTATCTAATCAACTTATTCCTATATGTAAACTGCTTAGTTTCAAAATAAATATTGTTTATTTTAACATATGCACTTACAATTAATAAATATAAATAAATTATATTTGAATTAAACTTAATTTTCTTGAGTTAAATTGTTTAACTTCATTGTTTGAATTTGTCAATTCAACATAATGACATATTGAATGAGAAAGCGACCTATAGGAATCATTAAAAATGACTCAAATTGGATACCACTTGACATTACAAATTTAACAATCGGGGAATTCTATGAAAATGTGAATAGTTCATCAAACGGATAATCCTGCAGAACGAGCATTTGTATAGATATTATGGTAAAGTCGATTTCATTACGCACGAATGCGTAATGAAATATCAAAGTGACAATATACAATAAAATATGTTATCAAGTTTTGCAGAAAAAATTCAGTAGTATAATCAGGTAATGAATTAAACAAAATTTTTTAATTAAAAGATAAAAAAATATTATAAAAAAATATTCTTGAAACGTCCATATTTTTTCAAATCTCTCCAAGATATTTTTAGATTATTTAGTATCCTATTGATAGTTAAATCGTTTTACTGAAAACGGTGCTTTAAGGGACATTCTCTAGGAAAGTGAATAATCCATAGAACAGATATTCACTGATTCTCATGGAGAATAAGCATTCAAATGGATGTTACGGCAAAGTCGAGCTAGTCGCATGGACGCGCGACGTTCCCGGCTAATAACAGTCGGTCGCCACAAACGCGCATGCGAAGCAACGAGATAAGACTTTGGGCTAAAACCGTGTCGTGACGGGATGTCTGTGCTATTCCATCCTCGATGCCGGCTACATAAGATGCCGCGCGGCTCGTCAACGGAACTCGCGTGCACGAGTGCGCGACGTGTGAATGCAATCCGACGCGTGCACGCCTCCTTCCCGGCATGTTATGTTTCCCAAACAAGAAACATACGAATTCGCGACAACAAAAAGTTTAAAACAAATAATAATAAGTAACGGGCAAAGTTTCAAGATCGTAGCATAGATCTTTGCATAACGTAAAAAAAGTTTAAAGATCGGAGCATAGATCTTTGCATAACGCATAATGTACAAAGCAAAGGAAATACTAATCAGAATCCTTTATTTCATAGAAAGGAGAAACTTTGATTCATTTTCCTAATGCAACGTGCATTAAGTTAATTCTATATGGCAAGTTAATCGCAAGCTTGCTGTGACTGAATCTAAAGCATCAATTTTGAAATTGACGCTTCATTTGGCTAGAAACCCTATAACAGAATCTGACTGCAAGCAATTTGAGAGTAAGAAAGAAGGTTATATATATTATCTCTTTTTATTAGACATATGTGTTATCTTATTCCAACTTTTACTGTCTTACTTATTCTAACTTACTGAAGTTGACAAAAACGATGAGTCAATCAAAAATTTGTCATCTTGAACAGATATTCTGTTATAGGATCTCTGTGGTCGGAATTCATAGTTCGTTCTTCTTTTAAGACCATCTTAAGACTCTAATATAGCTAGAGGCCGGTATTCAAGATCGTTTTAAGTTCTGTCTTGAGATGTCATGAACCAATCAGAAGGCCGCATTAACGTCTTAAGACATTACTTAAAACAGTCTTGAAATAAAAACCGATTGTGAATACCGGAGTCTGACTAGTTTTCATAACACCTTAAGATTGTACTCAAGATAGTCTTAAATATAAGACTTGATTATACCGGCCTATGTTTGGCAACAAGTTTGAGATTGACTTGCGACTAATGTATAGAACCAGCTTTATGTAAACGTCTGTACTTTAGTCTTAAGTTTCAAGCAGTAAATGGAGAGCATCTCGAGTGCCGCGAGAAGACGCAGCGAGGAGATGCTGTGTACCTGGCTTGGAAAAGCAAACTAATAAGCTGTCATAGCCTTTATGATTGCCACGAAATCAAAAAGAATCGTGCAGCAAGAACATCGCACAAAGTCCCCGGAAAATCTCTATATAATATCTACGCGTAAAGTAAATCTTATTACATATTTATTTATACTATTATGCTATTAAGATCACATCAGGTACCTAACGAACCGAATCACCATAAGTGACGAGCGGTGGCTAATTTAGTTCCCCGAACTTGCGCGCATGCATGTGACTTCTCGTCTTCCTTTTTATTTTACCCGCGCTCGGAAGTCGGAGCACGCGTCCGACGGAACCAGCTGCTTATCCAAGGATCTCGGGTGCACCCTCCTAAGATCGGCTAATGCGATTTTGGTGGCGCAGCGCGAGAAAGGGAGGACATGGAGAGGCAGTTCCCGAAATTGCAACAGAACCAACGGGCGAGTTATGTTCGCCCGCGACGATTTTAAGACGATAAGACATTAAGGAGACACCGATGAAGCCACGTAATTGATGAGTTTGTAGCGTGACGACGCCGCAATGGCGGACGCGCCGAGATTAAATCCATGTAACACGGAGAGACATTTGATGTAACTCGTAAATAGCAAAGAATCAACAATTTTACAATATTTCTAGAGTGATTAATTAATATCGAGTCTCAAATTAACCATCCTTCGAATAATGTTAGCTTAATTATTCTTCCTTTTTGCAATTATCACGAAAATCAGCGACTTTTAAGGACAAATGTTGTCAAAGACGTCATTTTGACACCAAAATGACGTCAGCTTATTTCCTACACTACGTTAGCTAAAAGAAATGTCATCGCTCGTTCCATCAAGCGATTTAAAGACTTGACAATTGATGAATTGCTGGTAATTGACGTGGCTCGAGAGGTCACTCGAAAGCGGATGAGGCCGATGATGCACGTGTTGTACGTGCACGTCCGCCGTTCGCGAAATGTAGATCGGCGGTGATTTACTTATCAACAATCGACACTCCGCCGGAGGTAAATGGTCGAGTCGTGACCATTAGTTCGTAAATCACGGTACGTATGGTATGGGCCGGCCCCGTACCTACGAAGCGACAACGCGCGAATCGACACCGTGTGAGGCCCGACTGAGATCCCGACACGACATCAGGCCCTCTGCTACGGCCCTGTATAACGACAGCGACGCGTCGCAAGTGGCCGTCGATGCATTACAAGAATGATTTTACCAGAGTTTATTCATTGAACTCCTATAGGGCAAATTAAATTGAAAGTTACTTTCACTATAGCTCCACTTTTATAAATGTAAGCTATCCAGAAAAAAATATTTGGTTGAATTAACTGGAATTCTGGTGGAAACTGAACAATTCCAGAATTCTAGTTAGATCTACAAAATTTCTGGTTAAATCTAATAATTCTAGTTGAAATAACCAACATCCAGAAATCTAGTAGATTTAACCAGAAATCTGGATCGTCCATTTTCCATCAGAATTCCAGTTAGTTCAATCAAACATTTTTTCCGTGTAGAGTTTCGAAATTTAGCCAATCATCTATTTTCTTACCGAAAAAAGTTGCGTATATAAATCTCAAAGTCACCAGATGTCTCTTTAAGAGCAGATTTTTTTAAATATTCTAAACGAATAATTCTAACGAAAATATCAAGATTACAATAGATTTTAAATTATTAATAAAGTTCACGAATCATAGAGCTGACATTTCACGCGCTCAAACGTGGTGTTATGATGACAAGTGGGAAAAGTGATATGACGAATCCATTTATCAACGTCGAGATTTTTATACAAATATACAATATTTTTAAAAATTTTCAATATTTTTTTCGCTGCTGTCAGAAGTATACGATTTATAGATTGAATTTGTAATCGTACTACAAATGTAGGTGATTTGGGACAGTGTAGATAACTTGGGGCAACATGTATTTTTGTTAAATTTAATCATGAAATCCATCTATGAGTCTCTAAAGGAAGTATGAAACTTAAACTTCCTTTAGAGACTCATGGATGGATTCCATAATTAAATATTAAAAAAATGCATGCTATCCAAAGTTACCTGCACTGTTCCAAGTCACCTACAATATATTTACAGTACTCCTCGCGAGAACGTTTTTACGGAAAATCCGAAAATTCCCAGGAGATTCCAAAGTTTCGAGAATGTACCGAGAATTGCGTATTTCTCAGAGCGAAACAATCTCGACGAAGAGCTCGCTCAAAAATTGCGCTTCACATTATCCTCCGTAATGCGGCTCTGTCAGTGCAATTTGTAGGTAGTTGCAAGCATTCGTAACGACCGAAATCACAGGTACGCGCTCGCGAAGAAACGGCAGTTACGTAACAGTCGACGCGACTCTTTTTCAGCGCAGCTCTTCAAATCGGCCCTGGAAATCGGTAGAAATTACTTCGCGCTTGACTTGCTCGCGTGAGCGGTGCTGGCTATTCTCGGCGACTTCGTAACAAGCCGCGGCCTCGTCCCATCGAAAATAGGATAAAATCGCTCAGTAGTCGCGGACATCAATAAGATCGTCCACGTTGGAGAAATCAAGATTCTCTCCTCAAGTGTCGAGCCTCTCTTACGCGAAGGTATTCAGCGATCCTTAAGTTAAGAGGTCCTCTTCGAGCCTGAAGTGCGAGCACGTTAAATAGCAACTTCGTATCTTCTTCTAGTATTTGAATCACTGATTCACACGTCTCTTTTTGCGTCGAATTTTTATTTTACTATCAAACACCGCTTTGCGTCAATCTCGCCCACGACTAATATCGGCATTATAAAAATTTTTTTCCTTCTTTGATGTCATAGATAAAAGAACTATAATCACGCTAAAGTAGGCTTACTTTGTCTAGAATGTCTAAACTGTTAATGCAAATCCAAGCGTTCGCTCACCGATAGTAGTCCTTCTTGCAGTAGATATTGCCGTCTCTGCTGAAGCAGGTGACCTCCCCGTCGAGACCCTGACGACAGTGCGAGCACTGGAGGCACGCGGCGTGCCACCTCTTGTCGACTGCCTGGAGGTAGAACCTATCTGATATTTTGAGACCGCATCCCGCGCAAACCACATTCCCCGGAACGTCTTCGGATTGCGAGGGTGGCGTAGGCGGCGGTTCCAGCTTCGGGATGGCGTGTAAGTGATCCGTCGTTTGTTGTTCCTGAGAATGCGCCTGCGGATGCAGATGGGGATGATGATGGTGATGATGGTGATGATGATGATGGTGATGCGCTGTCGGCATGCTTAAATCATTGGCGTTCTCGAAGTTTCCACCACTGCCCCTGTATTCTTGCCCGACTGCTGAGAAATACAACAGAAGGATTTATCATTAATAATTCATGCTTCCATTCATCGTTAACGTTATTAACACCTTATACTACAAAGCACTTCGATAAACTAATTTAGATATCTCTACGGTTTAAAAAATTCAAAAGATTATTCTAAAGATTAAGTTGAAAGTTTCAAAGGATAACATATCTCAAAATATGGATAATGCTATTAATCGATTCTCGAACCCCTACAACTATCTTAATGGTTTCTGACATCCTTCGCCTGACCCTTCGATAGATATAAGATAATCGTACCTCCGGGTGAATCGTAATCCCTCGACTCATAAGGGGTGGTCGAGCCGTCGTAACAGTTGTTATTGGTGCCACAGTGGGTCTGATGCAGGGGCGTATGATGGGACCCGTGGTGATGGGCAGCAGGAGGACTGCACGGTAGAGTGGTAGGTCGTGCAGCATCGCCCATCGACGCGGGAAGGCAGGGACTCAGATCCCTCGCCTGATCCACCGCACCGGGCCCGCCCGTGCTACCAGGTCCCCCCTGGCGCCCCACAGCCAAGCCGCTGCTACGCTCCTGCGAGCTGGGCGGCTGCTGGAACAAATCGATGTATCGACACTTTAGTTAGCGCATCGAATCGACGGTATTCATGTGTGTGTTTTGTCATGCAAGAGGTGAAGCCGGTAATATGAGTATGAGATATTTCTTACGTTATATTCGGAAAAAAATCCGTATTAATTGTGACTTGTCATTTTTCTTGAAATTGAGAACAATAAAAAGTCCCTCTCACATAATATCCCTTATCGGGAATTTGTAAATAAAAGTAGCATTATTCTTATTATTACTTATTGAGCATTTTATGACTTTGAGCGATCGAGATGTATAATTCGAAAAATAGCTATTAATGGAAATTATAATTAATAAAAAATTGTAAGATAAAAAATTCATCAATAATATAAAAAAATTGAGATAAAAACAGAAAATGTCAAAATACACGAATGAATGTAGAAAAGAAAAGAACTGAAGTCAAGAAAAGAAAAATAGCATGAAATGCAAGTAAAAACAAAAGAGAAGAGGACGTATAGGAATTTAACGGAAGAATATTAAGATATCATAAAAATAAGACAATTAACAGAATAAAAATATTAAGACAGTTAGAAAGACTGAAAGACGAAAAGGATCAACGAATTAAAGGAACCAACAAAACCAAAGAAGAAGAGGAAGCCGAGTGAGGTAAAAGGATATAAAGGACAAAGCGAGGACACGGCGAGGACAAGCAGGACCGATCGGACCGAACTCGCGAATGGAATGGAGGTGAAGTGACGACGGGTTGCAACCGCTGCTGTCACCAGAGGGAAGAAACGCGCGGAGAGAAAGAGTAGCACACCAGCGATGGTAGTCGGTCGTCTGATGGATGTCGCAAGATACATAACGCGCTCGCGCGCATGTGCGAGGCCCTATAAGGCACGAAGGCGGCCAATCCGATGGCAGCCACTATGTGTTTCAAGTGTTTGCAACATGCCCGCCGCTGATTGCGTAGATATAAATTGCAAACCCTCTTTCTCTCCTTCCCTCATTCCCCCCCCTCTCTCTCTCTCTCTATTCTTCCTCTTACAGATATTAGATTATAATTCTGATTTTGCCTCTCTTTGGCTATTGTTGCTCTTGCGGATATTACAATTGAGAAGAATTTTTGGCTATATACAAAAAATCTTGAATGCTGCGTTAAATTTGTCTACTAGTCAGACGACAAGAACACATCACTGTGTATTTTAACAAACTCTTTAAGATTATTGGCAATAATATTTATGAGTATATAGTTTGAGTTTTTCTGTTGTGCACTCTAAAAAGATCTGTTAGTGCTACAAAAGATTTGAATACAGAACAGCATGGAACCAAAGTCCACAACTTTTATCATTGTCTCCAATCGAATGTTTCAAGTAATTTTTTGTCACGCATTGGCCCTGGAATTATTCTAA